AAGAAGCATGCTACAGGTAGCTGGAGTAGCCAAACAGCTACTCCCTCAAGTGCGTGTGGCTAATAGCAGCCAACAGGAAAACAGGAGGAAGATAACGAAATATGTAAAGATAAGAATTTGGAATTAGAACACGTTACAAAGGGACAGCACTTCAGCATACAAGTATTGCAGCTATGTCGCTTCTATAATATCGACAGTGCGAATACAAAAGCGATGTTGTCGTCAAGTTGTCGGCATGTTATGCAGACGACGCAATAGCAGTACAAAATATACTCACTGTGTGCACACTTGAAGTAAGCAGCGATGCTTACTGCTTCCACTGTGCATACAGTGAGTATATCTTGTACTGCTATTGCGTCATCTGCATAACATGTCGAAAACTTGACGACAACATAGAAATTTCTCTCGCGTAATGCACCTATGTTGCTTCTATAAAATACACAGCGCATATATGGAAGCGATAACAGAGTTATTTTGTTCGAATGTCGTACAAATGAACCGTCAACAAATATAAAGTATAGCTTCTGTATATGTGCAGGTCAGCAAATGTTTGAAGAGAGGCCCACTCGACATAATGCATCTATATTGAGCCTGTGCTATATAGAAGCATCGGCCCGTACGGCATAATGCATCTATTTTCGAGGCGGAACTTGCCTGGTTGTCAAGTTGAAATACCCAGACAGACGCACACACGCACACATACACACACAAACATAGGAACATACACACAAACGCACACCATGGGTTGTCGCTATATGCGTTTTTGCATTTGCATGTATGCAAAAACTCATAACTAGTATGTTGAAGAATATGGATGTGAACTTGCAAAAAAAAGTCCTCCAAGTAAAAGGCAAAGAGTAATGCGTTCGTTAGAGATAATAACGTCCATTCGGTGTGACACAAATTATAAAATGCAAGCGAACTCTCCTCTCTTCCTGTTCACCACTCCGTAATCATCACCATGATTGGGTTAAATCGGAGTAGCCGATGACGCAAAGCAGCTGTACTGCTTCCGCAGAATAAAGTTATGTACAGATTACAGTACACGCTCTATTTGAATAGAGCGTTACTGTAGTTTGAATAGAGCGTGTACTGTAATTTGAATATTTTGCATAGCCTTTCTCCCCACTGTATTTTAAATGTAAAATGTACAATGTATTAATTGATAGGCTTACTAATTGCTCATAATGTGTGTCACACGGAGTGAATAGCGAGCAATAAGTGTAGGACACACGTGTTATACGAGTGAGCTATGGGTACCCAGTGTACAATACATGCATTATGAATTTACTGTGTTGCCTACTGGTTTACATTCATTTACAAGAAGCAGCATCGTCTACGATACTGACAGCTGTATCGGCGAAAAAATGATGTCAAAGCGCTAGCGCTCAGCGTCTAGGCCCCATGCAATTAATCAAATTAAGTGAGGTTTTAATTCTGCAGGGAACGTTCACATTGTGTAAACAGACGTGGAAAAAAATTATCTTCCTGTAGCTGAGATCTTCGAACAGTTTAAAATTGGAATTAAGGTTTGCGAAAAAATCTGATGAGCTTACGAAAGCACAGTGTTACTAGAAAGCTAAATCAAAAGAGGAAAAAACTTCAAACCTGATTTACAGGCCTTGCAGAAAATGAAGCACAGTACAGAAAACACTTTAAAAGAAAAAATAAAATCGAAATTTGGGTAGAAAACAGTATGCATCGACATCATCTTCGTCAGATCACTGCGTGAAACTTACAAAAATCAGTCGAAATAATCAGCGATTTCGATGTCCGGATCCAAAAGACCTTCCTCTACCTGACTTACATCAATCTGATTCAAAATCAGGTTCTCAATTACTTCTTCCAAATCCGTTTCGCCCACCAATACGGCACCTGCGAAAAGTAGAAAAATTTAATATATTATTGATTTGTAATGAAAAACCTAATATATTACTGCTTAAATGTATTATATACGATAATTAAAACACATTCCTGTACAGTCAGTTTC